AACTCGAAGAGTTATCCACGCATAGCAAATTTCTCACAGGAAGGAGGAGCGCCCGGCGTAGCCGGGCGAACCCGTAAGAAGGAGGGGAGCTCGGCGTTAGCCTGGCGGCCCGACTGGTATATTCATAAAGAAAAAGGTCCATTGATAACGACATCTGATGATGGTGTTATCATCACCCGAATCATGTGTGAGAACCGCGCAAGGCTCTGGTTGCCAAGCAGTGGAATCTTTGATGGGTATCCAATTCAAAAAAAGAGCAAAAGGTTGAGAATTCGTATTGAAGACTTGCAATGAATACCGTTTGGACTGCCTTGTTAGTCCTGTGCCAAATTTCGTGCAATGGAAAATATAATTTGTCTCAACGAAGGAGTGAAGAGAGAGCCGATCACTACAACTTCGTCAAAGAAGGAGGGAAGTCCGGCGTTAGCCCAGTTTTGGTCTCGTTTTCTTCTCTGTCGTCCGTTAGAGAAGAAAACGAGACCGAAAACTTTTTCGGTGTAAACGAAATTATTGAGTCCATAGAGGAAATTCTTGCTCTTCAAGAGGCAACCGAGCTGACAACAAAAACGTTCGGATTCGATCGAAGCGAACAAGACAATAAACGTACACAACAGGAAAGGCACTCGAACAACAACGAAACTGATCAAAGGATGAAAGTGATATATACCTCTGTAGAAAAACGCACCTCCCGCAACGGTGCAACAAATTCGTCTCACGGTAGGAGCGCAGTGCCGGGGCCCAAAAACAAAGAGTATGCTGGAGATGTTTCAAGAAAGTACTTATTTCACGGCAATGTCTTGCCGTCATCAAATGTCCAGAATGTGACGGAGACTACCGTTCAACATGTTTTACCTCCGATAGAGACAGTTCGCAGCCAACGATAACACCGAGTCATACACAATATTCACCTCCATTTACAAATTCTAAAGCAACCTCAGGAAGCACAAATTCAGCAAATAACAGTCGTTTGAAACAGCCTCTGAGATTGCATATCCAACAACAAGAACGTAGCCAAGTTCAAGCCCCCCCCCCAACGCTGCGTCGTAGGTGGATACAACAAGCAAGCAGAATAAACCAGCTCGTAGTTAACATGTGCCACAAATGTCTTCAGCTCAAACTCCAATGATTCTGAGATGGATTATCAAGCTATAGCGCACCTCTTAAATTTAGTAACCCGATAATACTTCATCAAATCACCATCTGGAGCTGCCGTCGCTCGCTCGCTCGCTCTAACTCGCTTGAGCTGCCGTCGCTCAGCACCACATCATTTATTACCGTAGGAGTGAGAAAGCTACGAGGAACCTTCCCATCCGACGAAGTTCGGAATGCATTAAAAAAGCTGTCACAGCTCAATAAAGCTGAAGCAACTATTAGACTTCAGTAAAGCACACAATAACACATACAAGAACGGCAGAACTACCAAAGGTAGGCAAGAGCTTCAGACGGGAAGAAAATCACGACTGCGCAGCAGAGTCCACTCACAGCAAGCGTATCTCCTGATCTTTTTAGTTGGACAAGATCCGCTGCATCGGATTCTTTCTCGACCACTAGTGCGCGACTATCAAACTAGCATCTGGATCAGTGCTCACACCCACTAACTTCGCGTGCACAGTCTCTGGAATTACTGCATACTTGAATCAATGAAACAAGTTAGAGATGTACAATATACTTTGCTTATTGTGACTATTCCTCTAGTATTATCAAAAACACTACAAAAAGACATAAAACTTCTGTACAAATCAGAATCGTTCGGATTTAGAGTGGAACAGATGAAGAAGTTGTCATCAAACTCACGGAAGACTTCAGGGAACCCATCTCCCTTGAGAATATAACAGCCACGGCTGGAACCCCTGATGGATTTCTATTCACTGGTGAAATCGGGAATCATAGAGAGATTTTTAACGTAGCCTATCGAAGATTGCAAAGCTGTTGCAAACAGTGAATAAAGAGAAAATGAAGCTGTTCAACAACACGCTCACAGCGTACCTTCGAGAGAGAAAGGAAGTGAACAACATTTTATGGAGTCGCAACCTTTTATCTTCCTCAATACTCGTGTAG